CCCCAGGATGCGGTAATGCTTGCCGCGCGGTGGAAGTTCGCGCGACAGCCAATCAATAAGCTGCTTTTCGTAATAACCTTCTAGTTCTTATGGAAAAACAACAGATTGGCTGTCGCGCGGACTTCCGTCGCGCGGCAAGCATTACCGCGTCCTGTGTGCAGGAGCCATTATCGTTGTGTCATACTACTTGCAAAGCAGAGATCCTTTTGACTTGTTATTGAGGCTACAATCCGTTACACGCTCCCAACGGCCGCAAACATCATTCTATCTTTGTTGCTCATTGGATGTTAAACAAAGATAGAAAAATCCTGGCGGCCGTTGGGAGCGTGTAACAGATCGCGGCCTGAGCCGTATTATGGACGTAAGAATATATGAACGGAACATATTGTCGCGGGGGTAAAGCCCAAGGGGCGAAGGGAATGATTGTGGGTGCTTTCCAATTGCTTAACACATCTTGATACATATGTACACAAAACCAGTTGGTCGCTTATTATCTTACAAGATATTTTAGATAATATGTGACCAATAAACTGGTTTTGTGTACATGTGCGTCAACATGTGTTAAGTAATTGGAAAGCATCCAATGTAGAACGACCTTAATGTAGAACGATCTTAATACATCTTGACACACACGTACACAAAATCAGTTTATTGGTCACATATTATCTAAAATATATTGTAAGATAATATGCAACCAATAAGCTGGTTTTGTGTAACACAGTGTCGCAACTGGAAAGCACCCTATGGTGCTATGCTATTACATCGTGCACTTAATACGCATACTAAATACTAACTTTCTATTAGATAATCTTAATATCGACGGCACATATCAACGGCGACGCATTCAATCAATACAATACGTTTTGTTGATGAATATTATACCGCTTAATACCGTTGTTTATATATATCGTCAATATTAAGATTATTTAATAGAAAGTTACTATTTAGTACGCATATCAAGTCCACGATGTAAACCAGGAAATAGGCTTGGTTTACATCGTGGACTTGATACGCGTACTAAATAGTAACTTATTATTAGATAATCTTAATATCGACGATATATACAAACAACGGTATATTAAGCTGGTATAATACTCATCAACAAAACGTATTGTATTGATTGAATGCGTCGCCGTTGATATGCATTGTCGATATTAAGATTATCTAATAGAAAGTTACTATTTAGTACGCGTATTAAGTGCACGATGTAAACCAGGCCTATGTCGATGGGGTGAGTAATGGCGTAGGGTCACGTGTCTACATCTTTAAATATACGTTACTGCAATTGCTCCTTCACTGTTGCGCATGCGCAAAAAGCACAATCCGCATCGAAACTCGAGGCCTGTTCTTTATAGCTGCACTGCTGAACTGGTGTAATATATTGAAGTAAGACAAATATACGTTTTCTTACTCTAACTTATTGCACTAGTTCAGCAGTGCAGCTACAAAGAACAGACTTACTGAATCCAGCAGAGCGGCTGGACCAATATTCCTAACCTAGAATATGATACATGTTGTTAAATATATTGTTTGTATTGTCAATGTTTGATATAATTTAAGAAGGATGTTTTTATCGTCAATGTAATGAATTAAATTAATATTCTAATATAAAATTAGATAGTTTAATGTATCTCAACGTAACGTATATATTTTATATGCACCAATATCTGTGTGTTTGACAACTATGGATGATCAGATTCTCTCGGAGCTGATTATGAAAGAAGAGGAGAACGAGGTAAAGGAGAGTCATCGCTCTAGCGAAAGCAGCAAGAGCATAACACCTGACGCTTCGGCCATTGGAATACGACCGAAACCTGTAATCCGTAAACCGGAGAATGTGAGTATCGGTTGCAAGTCAGAGCCGATCGAGACCAAATGGCATTGGGCCCCAGGAGCGTGGCAAGACGCGACCAGGACCAGTGCATTTCAGCCTTACAAGGTATTTCTCTCTCGACTCACCTCTAAGATTAACATGCACATATATATATATATATATATATATATATATATATATATATATATATATATATATATAATATATGCACTTCCTGCTATATTACAGGAGTATGTTTCAGTTATTTGTCTAAAGTAGAATATTTATCTTATCTGATATTTATTTTTATTTATTGACAGCCACCTACCTTGCTCACCAATTTGCAAAGAGGCAACACTCAAACCCAAATACCTCAGCTGTATGTAGGAAATGACATCACTTTTCATACCTTGGCAGGTCAAGGAGAACTTGGCTCTGAACATATGCAGCCAAGTAAATCATGTCTCAGTAAATATACCAGTTAACAGTAATATTACATCAATGTTATATATTATGTTGGTTAATGTAATACGTTATATTAATTATAGTTCCTCATTGAATGATGCAACTATTATGTACAATATTATGTTATACTTGCATGTTAAGTGGGAAGTTATAATATTGATGTAATGCTACTATTAGTTAGTGTTTATTGAGGTGTATCTGAATGCATGTGAAAGTTATAATAGTAAATTCTTGTAACTCTGTACATTAAATAACATTACATACACTAATGATATTTTTTCTTCTATTTCTTATTTACAGAGACAGTAGATGTAACTGATGAGAAGGGATTGACAGGATTGATGTGGGCAGCTGGTTACGGACAATTAGGCAGTGCTAAACAATTAATCAAGTGCGGTGCCAATGTAAATTATCGTGGACCAAAATCTGAGACAACTTTACATTTGGCAGCTGCATATGGTCATCATGATCTTGTTAAATTGTTGTTGAATCATGGTGCCGATTCAAATGCATGTGATGAGGTATGTGTTATATTTTTCTCTACATAGAAGTATGATTGATATATAATTAATTGTTTCTGTTTTAGGATGGCAACACTCCATTAATATATGGGGCTTATTGCGACCATCCACATGTATGCCATGAATTATTAACAAGAGGTGCAGATGTAACACTCACTAACTCTACAAACATAACTGCTTATAAGGCAGCAATAATGAATAATTCAATGAATGGTAAGCGATCACGATTTGTTTTTTTCAGAATATAAAAAATAAGTTTGTAAAAATAAGTTTTATCAGTTTTTGCTTTATTTGCAGCTAAAGCAGTTATTGAAAATTATTTGATATCGCAAATTATAAGTATGTCGACAGAAGAAATGTAGTAATAATTTAAGGGGATGTTGAAGTGGATGACGAACTCGGAAAGTGTCGATAATTTAGAGGCGCTCGTTGCTGACACAATCATGCTATCCTTTTCGTATTTGTATATGCAGAACTTACGTAAATATGTTGTTTTGTTTTACTATATTTAACAGAAAACTTAACCATGCTTGTATAGAAATTTTTTTGAAAACTTCAATATTATTAAGCTTTTGAATTCAAATGCGAAGATACAGTAATGTCCTTCAAAATTTTTTTGTTTACAGCATCCACACTTTTGGTACGTACAAGCTGCGAAATTTTTGGACTGGGCAAATATGCTGACTGCTTGAGATTTTAAACTTTTCTTTTGTTTTCGTCACATATTGAGCAATGCTCCTATTTGCGTGAAAGTATTTGTAATTATGTACAATCAATACGTAAACTTTGCAGAAAAATGTCAATATCATGTCAGAAAAATTTTCAGCTTCAGCATCCCCTTAATACTTGTTTATGTATATGTGTGTGTGTGTACACACACACACATAAAATTCTTTCTCGCAAATTGTAAATAAAATGCGGCGCTATACAACAATGTAATTTAATTATAAAAGAGAAACTTTATACATACACATGAATGACATATTTTTAACAAATATTGCATTAAAGAAAAGGATGATGCAGTGCCGGAATGCGTAGCCTTTTATAGAGTAAGGTGTATTAACTTAATAATAAATAAAATTTTATATATATATATGTATATATATATTTGGTAATAATACAATTTTTGCATATGCTATCTTTCAATACTAAGACATACGTACTGAATAAAAAGTAAAAACTGTGAATTTTATAAGTCGCATAATAGTTTCAAATTCCTCTAATTAAAATATACTCTTCTCTCGTTTTATACAAACTTATGTAAGTATTCGGCACCGGATAGCTAATTAATAGCGGCAATAAATTGATATACATAAATATACCGCACGACGTGTATCAACATATCTTCATTGATCATACAAGGGGAATGATTGTATGGCAATAAAATTAAAAATTAAACGATAGTCGATCTCGATTACTGATCGTAACATTAGATGTCTCATTGAGAGAAATATATATATCTTTTCTCTTTCTTGCCATATTCTTATTTACTCAAATACTTTATACGACCTCATAAGAATCAGTATAGAGTACTGATTCTACCGAAAATTTAACGGAGCTCGCGTCATCTACGTGCAAAACTTCGCTAATCTGAAAAAAATAAAGACGACATATAGTTATTATGTCTATATTGTTTTATACTATATATAACTTTACAGCTCATATCACAACTGGTATACATCTGTATAGATCGTGCATTTACGTACCTTAATTTTGACATACGGCGTTTTAGATGAAAAAGAAACCTGTAGTGGGAAGAAATCCGCAGAGTTTGAAGATGGGGCCGAGAATTCCATCGAGCCAGATTTTGTCGAAGCGTCGATTAATGGTAGGGTCCAGACTAACATGCTCCGTCGTGGTTCGTGTTCATATTGTCCATCACATTCGCTGACGACAGGAGTGCATCCCAAAGGTAGAGGGATGTTTATTTGGACGTTGTTTAACTCAAGATCGGTCTGTTCTAATTCGTATTCGATATTCACGTCGCAGCCGCCCTCTCCGTTGTCGGAAGGCCAGCAATTTACTGCGTTGAGTTACAAAATAGATTAAAGAATCATAACTAAATTTTATAGACGAACAAAAAGAGATCAATCGCAGACTCACTTGAGATTGGCAATGCTGTTTCTTCTTGCGCTTGTAAACGCCATTTCAAGACACCGACGTCGGTGTTCAACGGGAATGGTTTTGTAGGTACTTTCAGGCCAATTTGCCCACGTGATCTGAACAATTCTTTATCTACGTTTGGATGAGTTTGTAACTGAATGCCTCTCATCTCCTGCCTACTGTCAATCTGTACACGGATGCGTCCCCATTTCTCATCAGAGATACGTAACGTCATCAAACCAAGTAATTCGAAATATTGCAAGCCTCCATCCCGGCCGACGCGAACGTTGAGTTTTTCTTCTTGCCTCAGGTGAACCCTGTTGATAGATATGCATTTGATGATGATTTTATTGTGAGTGAGTTTGAATCTTCTTATGTGTTATCACATACAATTCCAAGTTAATTATTTGAGCCATAATCGGTGTCAGTTTCGCTCCAGGAGTAGTAATGACTCCTACCAAAATGATATCTCCCTCTTCTTTCAATTGATCAACAAAAGTATCCACGTCGTGAGATTTGCCGCCCAATTTCATAGCACCCGGTCCAGCGTTGACCGATGGTTTCCTGATAAAAAGAATTAAGTGAGATATTTGTCTGAGCATAATTATGCAATCGAGTTTGAAATTGACCATACTGTTTGGGCTTGTAAGAAGGTCTAATTGGTTCAGGCATAAAGTTAGCTGAGTCACCAACAGTCGCGATGGCTGGTACACCGCCGCTCCCGAATCCTCCGCCGAATCCGGGACTTTTGACGTTCTTCTTATTAGCCTCCATTCGTTGTCTCTGCAATTCCTTGGCCTTTTCGCGCATTTTGTTCTTAGCTTCGCGTTCTTGCGTCATCCTGACCGCCTGATAAACTTTCTCCTCATGCGAGTCCATTTCCACGAACGTTCTTATTTGTGCTAAATTGACGCTCTCCCTGTAGCCCAATGTAATGATCTCATCGAATGCAAATATCAAATTGAATGCGTTCTCTGCTATTTCAAGTTCATCCATGGAATTGCAATATTCTGGGAGCTAGAAGAATTAGGTATTGTATGTACATTAGATTTTTCAAAACTATATTTTAACACTTTTTTCAGTACAATTTGGAGCATAGTCGATCGCCAATTGTAAGAACCTATTTAATTCCCAGCCATTTTTTTTATTGGACCAGTAATTGCGTTCCAAACTGTATCAACAAGTGTTCAAACCATGTTAATACCAAATGTAAAGTAAAAGTACCAATGCCTAAACATACTTAATCCTGGATATTCTTATTTTGGTCTTTAAATATGAGTATTAAAAATTTCAACAATAGAATATATATATTAATATATTAATTTATATATATATATATATATATATATATATATATATATATATATTCTATATTGAAGATTTAAATATTTGTATTTAAAGACCAAAACAATAAGAATGCCCACAATTAAAAACATGTTCAAGTATTGGTATTTTTACCTTACATTTGGTTTCAAAATGGATTAAACACTTTTTTGTTGATTTATTGTTCTTCACCTACTTTGAGGAATTTTTGTCGCCTAAGGTAAAAGTACCAATATCTGGACAGATATATATTGGACACATAGATCTATTGAACATAAATCTATTGAAAGTTTAAATATTTATATTTAAAGACCAAAACAAGAATGTTCAGAAATAGTTATCCAGGCATTGATATTTTTACTTTATATTTGTTTTTAAAATATTTAAAGAACAAAGCGAAAAGAATGTCCAGAGTTTGATGTGTCCAGGCATTGGTACTTTTATTTTGCACAGTAAGAATTTCTCAAAGTAGCTGGAGAATAATAAAGCAAATGCAATCTACTCACTACTCTGGCAAAGAGCCTCAAGGTCTCCAAGTCCTCCAAAATATTGCTGGCCTTAGTAGTGATGAGCAGCATGTATACTTTTTCTAAAGGCTGATACACATATCTGACAGATTCGGTCTCCACAAATGTATGCTGCTTACCCGAGCTCATCAGTTTTGGAAATGCAGCAAGTAGGCCTTCTATTCTTGCCTTTGTCATGTCGACAAACTGTCGAGAAATGATGGCTAGAAAAGTAACACAAATTGTGAGTTAATTATCAATTATGATTAATATTTCTGTTAAATGGGTCGACTGTGTTAATAAGTGCGTTTCAATGCTCATTTTTCTACGAATAAAACATATTGCAAGGTTGAATATGACGTATCATGTAATCACAGTGTCAGGCTACACTGCCGAAAAGAGACACGTATAGGAGCATAGAAGCACACGCATAGGAGCAACATGGCGACGATAATTCGTTACTTACTTTTTCCTGCTTTGGTGCATACCGCAGCAGCGATGAGTACCTAGAAAATGAAAACAGGCGTTCTGAATATATTGAGAGTACTTATGGGAAAGGCGGCTGAAGGCTGAGATTTGACGATTGAGGGCTGAGAGCTGAGGACTCGCTGATGTTAAATGACATCAGGACGGTGATGCGAGATCGTGGATATTTGCGAACATGCTGTTGATATGCATGTAGTTTGACAGTTATCCGACGCGAACGAAGAACAATTACTTACCATTTTGGCGAGCGATCCCGAAACACCGTGTGTCCTGTGACAAATCTATATGTATTTTTTTTTCACATGTAACGATCCAACTCCACATCACATAACAAATACGTGAAGGAGGAGAACAGAGGGCGCACTGTGCTGACGTGTGGCATTACGAAAGACGTACGTCATGGATTATAAATGTGAACATAGTTCGGAAACAACAGGTACAACCACGGACTAAGAAATAGAGGGATTGAGCCTAAACGCTTATGTAGAGTTCACACCGCGTCTGATATCCAACGTACGATGTCCGATATCCAATAGGAGAACAGATTTCTAATAGAGAATTCAATTCTCCATTGAAAAGCTGTTCTCCTATCGGACGTCGGACGCGGTGTGAATCCTCCATTACTTTGGCGAGAGGGATATACACTAGAGATGCCCGATTCTGAATCGATTCGATTCTTTCTCCAAAAATAGACTTATTCGTGTTGTTTGCATTCTAAGTACTTTTCGTATTTAAAACTAGACAGAAGTATATTGGAATGTTTTGAAGAAGCAAAAACGAGACAACCAACTCGATTGTTTCTTCCAAACGTCTAATTAGGTGTCCATTTCTTTTTAAAAGCGAAAAATATGAAACATGCAAGCAACACGAACAACCCTTTTTCCCTAAATTTGTTAGGGAAAGAATCGAATCGATTAAAGATTTGTTCGTGTCGTGTGCCCCAATGTACATCAAAGAGTACTTGGATCACGAGTAAGATGGCGGTTGGAGCAAATGAGGTCATGTGCACAAACGCTCAGTGACGCGAACAGACTTGAGCACTTTCTGGCACTTCCGACTTTCGCTTCTTTTTCAGCAACATGTTGCAGCATGGGTCTGTTACAGGTTTTTTTTGCTGTTTTCCGCGTTATAGTAAATGAAATAAATGACAATTTTTTTGCTGAAAATTTTGTACCTTTGGCAGCTATTAATGATTTATTTGATGATGCG